AATCCTGCCTCACAGCAGCAGGTGTATGGAGAGATATTTGTGCCATCGGTTTGAGCGCGCAGGAACCAATCCGAGCGCGCAGTGAGACAACACGTGCGCGTGCAAAACCGGTCTGGCGCACGCTCAACTCTGAAAAACCCTCTTAACACACTGTACTCACGCTCAGGTTCATCTCTGCTCGCGCTCGACTTGCTCTCTCCGTGCTCAACACCAGCTGTGCGCTCGGCTGTTTCTTCGCTCGCTCGACTCTCTGCGCTCGCGTCTTCAGCAATATATGTAAATGAACCAAACCGTCAGCCAATCACGCTCAGCTTCTTTTCATCCAATGAAAGCATTCGTTCTTCCGGTTAAATGGGGGAAAAAAAATAAAAACACAATCAGGAAAATCAAACAACTCACTTGCAGTTATTTGGTCAACACTCCTAACCATTTGATGGACAGAAGATCTTGAATCTTGAATTATCTCAAATAAACTCATCCATCTCTTTTACCTGCTATTGACATGGATTTAAATTTGCTGTTTTAAATGAAAAATAAGGAGGATATTTCAGGTATTGTTCAACAATATATAGATAAAAAATATTATGGATATGTTACATTTTTTATGGATGCTTCAAAATATTCCAATATTAGAAATGGTGTTTTGTTTTAGTTCCAGAATTTATTTTAAAATCGGGTAAAAGAATCAGCGATCAGTAACCGGATGTAGTATTTTTGGAACAAATGCTTTCATTGGATGAAAAGAAGCTGAGCGTGATTGGCTGATGGTTTGGTTCATTTACATAATTGCTGAAGTCGCGAGCGCAGAGAGTCGAGCGAGCGGAGAAACAGCCGAGCGCGGAGAGAGCAGGTCGAGCGCGAGCAGAGACGGATCCGAGCGCAAAGAGATGAAACTGAGCGTGAGAACAGTGTGTTGAGAGGGTTTTTCAGACCGGTTTTGCGCGCTCGGATTGGTTCCTGCGCGCTCAAACCGATGGCACAAATATCTCTCCATACAGGTTGAGCCAAACATCCTCTAAATGTGCAGGGTCATCTTTGAGCACGCCA